GTTTTACACTCAAATCTGTTCATATCAATTTTCTGATTTGCATAATTAGTTTTCAGCTAAGTAATTTCGAATTATATTTAATGTGTCTCCAATACTCTTAGCACATGGGAGTTCTTTCTAAGCCTTCTTTGATTATTATGTGTACCGTGAATGGGTAAAGTGCGTTTCGACAATGAGCTGTTATTATTGTCAAAAGTGTTCTTCTTCAATGCTCAGCTCATCTTTCAAAAACAACTAATTTCTTGATTTAAAAAAAAATCATGTCGTTTTCCCATCAAAGCCAAACGATCGCACTACAACAACGGTAAATCTCTTCCGTGTGCGTTCACCATGAAGTTGCTGAATACATATTTAAATGAGCTATAGTAATTTAAACACGTTGGCTCCATCCAGCATTTCGATTGGTTAATTAGCGACTTGACCTATCAGGTCAAAAAACAGTTTCAAGTCACTTGTGTTTGAACAAACATGGCAGATATTGTATCGGATCGAGTGTTTACATGTGACCGAAATCATTCTTTGTGGTGAAGCTAAGTTGAATTTTCACAACAATTCAACGAATTTATTTTTTGTACGTTATTGTAATCACTACTGAGTAATAATCATCAATTATAACACTTCGAAAACAAATAAGTTATTCACTTGTGTGAAACGCAGCATGAGCTGCTGGAATGCGATACCGTACCGTGATCATTTGCTACTAAGAATGCATTCGTTTTTGTTTTATTTCTTTTAGAATATACTTTTCATTATCAAAAAAAAAAAAATAAATACATATTACTTTAAATATACTGAGTATTTTTTTATTATCATGTGAACATTTTGATTGACTAATTTTCCCCGATGTCTAAATTAGAAAATGGAAGGTACAGTCGAACATGCCAGTAGTCTGACGCAATTGACTGTGTCAGACAACTGTCTCTCAGTTGTGAGTGCTAACGAATTATAGTGACGTTTATTTAAGAGATTATAGTATAAGGTACCGTAATCTACAAATGCGTACAAATCTATTTTTTGTAGATATTATTTATTGTGCAGTATGTTATATAGTGTGAAATTTCATTTGTGTAAAAGTTTGTCTGTGTGTAAAAATTCGAAAGTGCGCTTAGAATTGCAACAAAGTTGCAATCGAGTGTCGTACATCTCATCTCATTAGCATATCATTATCTCTTCTGGCCTTTGTTTTCTGAGAAAATTTCCCACTG